CACAGAGCCTAGCTCTGGTGCCATGAAGAATTCAGCGGAGTTCACTCATTTTCTCTGTCCAATAAATCGCTTTATTGAGTAACCTAATAAATAGGGTCTTGGAGGCAACAAGCCGGCCTCTCTAACATTAGAATCTAGGGTAAGTCTTGTTGAATCAAAAACTAATCAGAATATTTAATGGAATATATGACTAATTAAAAAATATATCTAACATAGAAAATAAATACTAAACTCTCAAGACTATATGTGCCGTGCTGTAAGGAATAATAATGATAAAAGTAAATTACAAAAGCACATTATAGAACAGAGGGAGAGTCACTCATCGCCTTCAACACAAGGAAATTTTCAAATGGGCTATAATTTCTCATTTCTTCATTTGCTTGCTCAGCTGTGGTACAGAGGATGATTAATTATGATGCTTAATGGGTCTTGGTTGGGTGTAAATTTTGCTTTACTAGACCCTTGAGGGCAAGGGTCTCTTGGGAGGAGATATTGTTATGTAATAAATAAATAAAGAGAGTTAGTTAAGGGGTAATCCATAGTTAGGATTAGTTAGTCAATTAGGTTCAAGGGTATTGGTTATAAATAGATGGGTGACTTAGTTTGTAAAGAGGCTTTTGAATAATGAAAATTTGAGTTTGTTTGCCTCTCTCTCCTGCATATCTTATGTATCACAGTCACAAGGAAAAATGGCACATAGAAAAGTAGGCGTAGTCACAAAATACAAATAACACAACTAAACGTTTCTCACATTCACCTATTCCCTCCCTACGAGAAAATCCTTGTTCTCAAGGAGTTGGAGGTGGTGTATGAGTATCAAAATCAGGATATTAATGTGTTAAAAGTTGTTTTCATTTCATACCGTGTTTTTTAACTGTTTGTTACCATGCAGGGAGTCATGATTACTCATGGAAATGTTGTTGCTACTACAGCAGCTGTTATACCAATAATTCCAAATCTAGGTACAAAAGATGTGTACATGGCATACTTGCCCCTTGCTCATGTTTTTGAATTGGCTGCAGAGGTAGGTAATTTCTTTTTAGCTCTATAACTGTCTAAAAAATTTGCAATATTGTTTCTAAATTATTATGTTTGTCCAGTCTGTTATGCTAGCTGCAGGTGTTGCTATTGGTTACAGCTCTCCTTTGACTTTGACAGATACATCTAGTAAAATTAAGAAAGGAACCAAAGGAGATGCGACTGTGTTGAAGCCCACCCTTTTAATTGCAGTACCAGCTATTCTTAATCGTATCCGAGATGGAGTTCTGAAAAAGGTTTTAATTCGATAGTCACTGTTTGATAGCCTTTTTTTTTCCCACTTCATATTCATAGCTTTGTTATAACAGTGATGGAGTTATTATTCCCTTCTCTACGATGATGTACTTAAGGTTGAGGAAAAAGGAGGGCTTGTGAAGAATCTTTTTTTGATTGCTTACAAGCGTCGACTTGATGCTTTAAAAGGAAGCTGGCTAGGAGCTTGGGGATTGGAGAAACTGTTGTGGGACATCATTGTCTTCAAAAAATTCGCATCTTGCTTGGGGGTGAAATCCGGATGATTACTTGTGGTGGAGCCCCTCTATCCGCAGATACACAGCAGTGTATTCATATCTGCATGGGGTAATGGCTTTAATTTTTTTCCTTTGTATGTTCCCCCTCCTACTCGTAAGGAATGCACATCATCTTTCTGTGTTCGAACATCTAATGCGTGTCGCTGTCTTTTCCTTGATTTGATCTTTCATTTTATTTATACCAAACATTGGGGCATGATTTGTGAATAATGGACATGGATCTCTATATAAAAGCAATTTTAAGGGGTAAAAAACTAGAGGACAATCTAAGGATATTGCTATGCTCATATCAGGAGATAATCCTTTTACTTGGTTGTAACACTTATACCACAACAATTGATAGGTCAATAAACAGATCACAATGTGGCAGGTAATTGTGACTTGCTAACCAAGGATGAAAATAGATTTGCAAATATAGTTAAATAAAGAAAATATTATTATTATTTCATAGTAAGTTAGAAAATATAGGTAAATAAAGAAAATATTAAGGTTAAGATACAATTTTACTTCTAAACTATTCATGGAAGAGCAACATTATCCTTAAATTATTCAATATAGCAATGTAGCTCCTAAATTAATTAAACTAGAGGCTAGTGCAATGTTGTCCCCACCATTTAAAACTCAAAAATTTGTATTATCTGAAACAAGTGGGTCCCATTTTAACCTCGTCTTTGTGTTTCTATGTTTAACTTCATCATCTCCATTTTCCTCATCTTTGGGTTTCCGCGAGAATGATAGAGCTAGTGATTCCCAAAAGATTCGCCTGTCATTTCCTAAGGCTTATGGTAGACAATCTAGGAAAGCAGGTGATTTAGAGAAGACTAAGACCAATGGTCAAGAGATTTATTTGAAGGTTTATAACTGTAAGATTCAAATGATAAAAGAAAGGTTAGGTGTAGCCTAGGATGAGTGGTGTCAGTAGGGGTAATGACTACTTTTTGACTCTTTAAATATGTACTTTCGTGCAGAGGGAGGAGGGCGGACTTTTGGAGAATTGTGGTCAAGTGAGGAGAGTTCTGGCCTCTCAAATGTCAGATTAAGGGTGGAGAAGATAATCTTTTCTTCATCATTTTATCTTTCTACTTCAGTTTGTATTTGTGAGAGGCTTGTGTTTGTATTGCTGCTCAGAGGGTGTAGTTTATGTTGTTTCATGCTTTGTAATTGCCATCTGAGTGCAGTTTCAATCTTTATTTTGCTTGTAATCCCACTTTATTATTCAGCAATAGTAATTTTTAGTTACATTTATACTGTATTTTCTGGCTTTGCTTGTTTGTAAGCTTAACAGCGTAGAGGGTTCCATCAGAGAACCTTGCTCTTACTGCCGTTCGTTACCGTCACCGTCAACTTCATCATCATCACTATTGTTGCTTCATCCAACTTCCAACACAAAAGCTTTCCCTTATTTGATTCTCCACCCAATGATCCCAAGCACACAATGATCTCCGCCGCCATTATAGAACACAATGTTTCAGATACTCCTACACACCAATCCATGCCAAAATTCCAGACCAATGAGCCGAAAGAAGAAAAAGGATTCAACAACGATGAAGAAATAGAGGTTAAAGATTCTATTTTGTCTCCAGTTGATGCATCATCGGCAAAGAACGTGAGCAATGAATTCTTGCTGGATTTTGATGACTCGCTTGATGAGTCGTGGAGGGCAATCGTGGAGGGGAAGGGGAGGACGGTGACGTCGATGCTTAAGAAGAGTGACAGTTGGACAATGATGATCAGGAAAGCAAAGCCATTGTTAAGCCATGGAGATGGTAAAGCAGGGGGAGAAGAAGACAACGATTATCACGACGACATTGATCCAGTGTCCTGTGCTAAAGAGGGAATTGAGAAAGTCTAAGACTTTCAACTATACGGCGTTGTTAAGGAGAAATCAATGAGGTTCTCATGGCTGCTGATGTCACCGTTGACGGGTTCTCCTCCAACAGGTGTGGCACTCACAGTCAGTGGCCTTCATTGGTGAAACTTCTTACTCTCTCACCAACTTAACAGTCAAAGGTTTGGATTTTAAACAGTGAGATCACATTGCTTTAGTTTAATTAATTTATGACCTACATTACTATATTGAATAGTTTAAAGGTAATATTACTCCTTTACAAATAGTTTAAAAATAAAATTATATCTTAATCCAAAATATTATTATAAACATGATGAGTATTATTTTAATTAAGAATTAATGAAGTAGGATTTAAATGAATTATCTCATATGTGTCTTATTATATTTTATTTTAATTGTTAGGATTTTATAAATTTAATCTTGTCAGGATCATGATATTTTGTTAGGATTTCCTTTTATTATCTCGCATTTTGCATTTTCCTATTATTTTGCATTTTCCTTATCCGTTAGGTTTGAGAGTTTTGGTTCGTTGTTAGTAACAAAAGTGCTGTTTGCTCTCCTGACTTTCTTCTACATCTCCTTTGCTCTCTTCTCTCCTCCCCTTTATTTCTTCTCTTTCTCCCCCATTTTTGTTGTTATTAATACTGTTCCTATATTAATTTGTTATTAAAGCAAGGTTTGGCCTGTCCCAGTCCTGCATTTGTTGTTGAAAATACATAGGTTCCTAGTCCTAGCTTTTAATTTAGGCTTGGTAGAGCTACACACCAATCTGATGATGTTTTAAGTGTCATTAATTATGTACGCAGGACACTGGAAAAATTTCAGAATAGGTGAAGGGTGAATATGAGTGTCTTCAACAAGATTTGAGTACAGTTAGGAAAATTTCACAATAGAGTTTGATATTATCATTGCGGGCCCATTGGATATTAATGATAATAGTAACTATATATATTTCTCCGCATAGTTTGATTTAAATATATAGAATGAAGATTATGATTATCTGGAACATTTTGAAGTTTGACTTATAGAATTCTACATTCAGATTTAACTACACCAATTCCTCCTCAGCTCGGTCGAATTCATTATTTTGTACCATGTCTTAAAGTGGTGGCATTCATCTTACCCAATGCTTCAAGGTGGATTGTCCTATAGCTTCCCCACTTTAAAAGTTTATGTCAAGTTTTCTCCAATCATGGGACAAAATAATGAAAAATGAAAATGTATTAGAAAATATAATGTTATTTGTAGACTGGAAATTGTCGATAAATATAGAAAATAGGGATTTTAATTGAGAGTAGAATTATTTTAATTTATAATATATGAGGAATGGAATTAGGTATTGTTGATCTATCCCATCTTACTATGCTTTTATATATATATATATATATATATATATATAATCGACGGAGAAAAATAATGCTCTGCTTCAATCCGTTAGGCAAATAGCACATATATAGGGAGCTTCTAGGTTACAAGTTATTGAGATAAAATCATATTCATATCAAAATCTATCCTAACTAATTAAAACTAATAATGACAGAATTATTCAGATTAAATGAAATAAACTAGAGTATGGGCTAGGCTCTTTCCAGTGCTCTCCCTTATGTTGGAGAATAGATGTCAATCATTCTCAACTTGCTCATTAAGCTTTCAAACTTAGGCTTTGCCAGGGACTTGGTAAGGGATATCTGCAATCTGTATCCTTGTAGGCGTGTACCTTACTTCAACTTGCTTGTTGCCAATTTTCTCTTTAATGAAGTGATGATCAATTTCAACATGTTTGGTCCAACACAATGAATTGGATTCTTCACAATACCAATAGCTTGATTGTCTCATAAAAATTTCATAGGCTCTTCATAATGGATCTTCAACTCCTTGAACACTCTTTCCAGTCAAAGACCTTCACATATACCATGTGCAAGAGCTTGAAGTTCAGCTTCTGCACTACTTCTTGAAACTACAACTTCCATTTTGAAGAATAAAGCTTTACCAGGAGAAGACTTCAAATAATTGAGTATCCTGAAGACTACACACATATTGACAAGATAGGTTATATTTGGTCCAGTGTGGGATAAGTAGATCAATTTCCCCAATAGATGTTGATATCGTTCTTCATCAGCAAGTGGACAATCTTCATGTACACCTAATTTGAGGTTAAGATCAATAAGAGTAGCTGCTTGTCTACATCCCAACATGTTTGTTTGCTATAGGAAATCAAGAGTATATATTCTGAGACATATAAATGCCATTTTATCTAGCAACTTCCAAGCCAAGAAAATACCTCAAATTTCCAAGATCTTTCACTTCGAATTCTGATGCTAGTTGACCTTTCATTTGCTGAATCTCCATGCATCACCAGTGATTGATAATATCATCAACATAAACAATTAGTATAGCCCTCTTTTCTCATCTATGCTTAAGGAACAAAATATGATCTGACTGGCACTGTTTGTATCCATTCTCCTACACAATTGTAGTGAAGTGTCCAAACCATGCTCTAAGAGACTGTTCCAAACCACTTAGAGATTTGTAAGGCTTAGAAGCTTATGGGCTTTATTCTTGGTCTTGGTTCGAAAACGAAGAGGTGTCTCCATATAAACCTCTTCTTCTAAATCACTATGCAAGAATGCATTTTTCACATTCATTTGATATAAAGGCCAATCTAGGTTGGTTACTAATGGAATTTTGATGGCATTGAATTGTAGGAGAATTGGAAATAATGCTTGGATATATTTTTCCTCCCAAGAGGGGAAAATATATGTATAGCAAAAATACATCCAGCCCTAATAATTGTGAGGACTGAAAATCAGGGAGAAATTAAACAAGGAATAAAGAATAAAGAATAAGATCTGATTCTATAATATTTACAATAAATGTATATAATAAATTGGGATTTTCACATTCTCCCTCAATTTGGATCATGGATGTTAATCATGTCCAACTTGCCACAAAGTAGTCAAATTTGTCTTGAGCTACTCCTTTTGTAAAGATGTTTGTGATTTGTTGTACTAAAGGAATATAGACTAGTCGAATTATCCCATTGTCTATCTTTTCTCTTATAAAATGCCCACCAATCTCAACATGCTTAGTTCTATGATGTTGAACCGAATTATGTGATATGTTACTGGCTGCCATACTGTCTGAACAAAGTTTGATTGGCAAATTTACACTTTTCTTCAATTCATCAAGTACTCGCTTAAGCCATATACCATCACAAATCCCAAGTGCTACTGCTCTAAACTCAGCTTCTACACTGCTTTTTGCAACTACACTCTGCTTCTTACTTCGCCAAGTGACAAGATTGCCCCAAACATACATACAATATCCAAATTTGGATTTTGTCATCCTAGTCACTTGCCCAATCTGCATCTATAAAAATTTCCACATTCATGTGTTAGACTTCTTGAACAAGAGGCCACATCTCGGAGATCCTTTAAGGTGTCTAAGAATTCTGTAGACTTAAGTGTTTTGCCTTGGATCACGAGAGCGCTGACTAACCATACTTACTGTGAAAGCAATATCTAGTCAAGTGTGAGAGGTAGATTAACTTCCCCACCATCTGTTGGTATCTTCCTGCATCCACAGCCTTGCCAAGGTCTTCCTCATCACTTATCTTGTCAATTTGTAAGGCCTACAATAAATGCATATAGTAAAATAAGATTTTCACATGTATTTTGCTACAGGTGCCATTCCATTTGAGGTTGTGCTTGCAAAACACATTCTTCCATTATTCTATAAATACATTTTTGAAGAATCATAATCCTAAAAAGCGTAACAAAGACTTTTGAGCCATTTCCAGCCCCAAAAAATTGTCAATTTTATATTCATGACTCTTAAATCTATGGAGAACTCCTCTCCTTACATCCACCATTTGAATTCTTTCCAAACACCATAGACCTTCAATCTTCTTGCTCCAGCAACCACTGCATTTGCCCAGTCATCTTCCCCATTTCATCCAAGTTTCTTGGTTAAATCATAATCTAAGAAGTCAAGGATGATTCCATTGTCAACCAGAATTTGAGCTGGCTTCCTGCCCACATGTACTTGCAGCCTCATTGAATTTGTTCCCACCTCCCCTTCTATAGCATGAATTGAAACATGGAGACATCCAAGGGAGTCTTCATCATCTTCATTCTTACCATAAGGTTCTTGAATGTGTTCTTCAGAGGTTTTATCAATTTCTATAATTTGTAACTGCATTTTCCTTCTCTGAGGGAAATTATGGCCTCTTGAATACTTTTGATGGCAATAAAAATGAAGATTCCGGTCTCTAAGTTTTGCATCTTCTTTTAGGCTCATCGTCTTGGAGATTATCAAACCAAAGGTTTGTTGTTTGGACGATGAAAAAGATGAGCTTCCTAGGTTTGATCTTGCAGACAAAGCCGTGGGTGCCCCTGAAGGTGTTTTGGATGAATTTGTTTTGATTTGTTAGGACTCACCACAAGAACTTCCCTTCTTGGTCATTACCTATGTTTCAGAATAGAAGGCTTCAATGACACCCAGAACCCCCAACAATACCAAACAATGTTTTTCTCCATGTGAATGCATCAAATGCCTTCTAGAGGTTAATTTCTTGGAGGCAGGTCAACTTTTTGCATCTTGAAGTGTATTGGGCATCAAGATTCAATTAGGCCTAGCGAATCTTCCTGCTAGCCTACTAGATAGGACTGAACAAGATTAAGCTTGCAATGCATACGATCTCATTGAATGCATCTTTACACACCCCTAAACTCCTTGTCTTTTGCAAATGCATGAGATCCTCCATCAAGGCTTCATATGAAGGTCCGAGTCTTGCTTGAATTGCTTTAACATAATTGTCCGAGTCATATGAAGGATTTGTTGGCCTGCTGATGAGTGCTCAAATGATTGATGCCACTAGAATGCCTTCTTGTCCATATGAATGCTAGCCATGGTGATTTTCCTAGCTTTTGGTGTTTCATCCAAATGAAAATGTCTTTCACAATTTAGAAGCCATCCAAGAACATCTGCATTCTATAATCTTGGAAAGTCCATCTTGGTAAAATGTGTAGGTGGTAGACAATCACATTGTTTAGTTCTAGGCCAGTGAGGGCTGCTGTCGCTACTGTCAAATGGAGAGCCTCCACCATTACGAGACTCATCAAAGCTTCTAATGAGTTGGGCAACCTAGGTGGTGAGGGCTTGGAATATATTCTCCAGGGTATGAAACCTCTCATCATTTTGATATGCCGTTCTTCTTTGCGCAGCTTGTGAATGTGTTTCAGGCATACAAGGTGAGGAAAGAGGCTCTGGATACCACTGAAATGATAAAAAGAGAGGAAGAAAGAGAGATAGGGGTCAATAGAAGATAAACAGAGGAGAATTGAATAGTGCTTTGATGTTTAATTGATAACACCAGGGCATACATTTAGGTCTAAGCCTCTTATTTATATATTAGTCCCTTAACTGTCAAAGCTACCAAGTGCTAATTAACTCTTGCTATATATATTATTTACAGATCAATTTCACCTTAGGCTTATTCTAGGGGTTGTTAGTTGTGCGAATATTAATAGTGTACATTTACATAATTTACTTTTAACTGCAATGATAGCTTACAATCTCTGCTTTAATTCTATGCTGAATTACCTTTCATTAATTAGATAATGTTATGCTTGTATGGTTATATTTGTGCGTCTATTATCCAAATGAAGTTTTCTATCGTTATCTCTCAACAGGGCTCCTATTGGTCAAGCAAACGGCTTGACAGAAACATTTGCTGGGGCTGCCTTCTCTGAGTTTCATGACAACATCGTTGGACGTATTGGTCCTCCTCTTCCTTGTGGCTTTATTAAGGTAGTCCATATATCTCATTCTTAATGATGATTTAATTTAGCATCAAAACCATACTTATTTTTCAAGGTTATTTTTTTGGGCTGTAATCATGATAAAAGATATTTAATGCCAAGTTTAGTATTTTATACCATGTCAGAAATTTATAAATTACATATTTCTAAATCGTGCTGGAACGTATAACTGGCTGCTCTTCAGCTGTTAATAGGGAAATAATTGACCCAGTTCTTATTTCTGGATATGTAGCTTGTTTCTTGGGATGAAGGTGGATATATGACATCAGATAAACCAATGCCACGGGAAGAGGTTGTAATTGGGGGGTTCAGTGTGACAACTGGCTACTTCAAGAGTCCTGAAAAAACTAATGAGGTGTTTAAGGTAAATTCCAAAACCTAGGCTGTAAGTATGTCTGAGATTTGTCTTGAAATATTCTTGAATCTTATCCTGCATCTTATAAGAAGCACTTACAATTGTGAACTTGGTACAGGTTGATGAGAAAGGTATGCGTTGGTTTTATACTGGTGATATCGGAAGGTTCCATCCTGATGGGTGTCTTGAAATTATAGATAGAAAAAAGGATATTGTCAAACTTCAACATGGAGAATATATCTCTATTGGGAAGGTGACTTTAACTTATCATTCTTGATGAACTACTTGCACAAGGCTTATAGAAAATTAATCTGGATCTTTTTTTGTGCTCTGTTCCAACTTCATTGCAGGTTGAGGCAGCACTGTCAACATGTCGTTACGTGGATAGTATTATGGTTTATGCAGATCCCTTCCGCGACTATTGTGTGGCTCTCATTGTTCCTTCACGTCATACTTTGGAGAAATGGGCCCAGCAAGCTGGTGTTTCGTGCACAGATTTTCCTGAGCTATGTGATGATCCTGAAACTGTCTCTGAGGTTCAACAGTCCCTTTCCAAGGTTAGTTAATATGAATCAATTATTTGCAGAATGTACATGACACTTCTTAACTACGATTCCTGGATACCTTTGGGTGTGTTTGGTTCACAGGAGGAGAAGGGAGTTAATGATCCTTGTTTGATTTAATTTGAGGGGAGGGGAGGGAATATATTAATGAAAATATGTTAATATTGTAATTTATCAATGTATATTTAATGAAAAAATACATTGAAATTTAGTTGAAAAAATGTTGGACCAATATATTGATGTTATAATTCAGCTGATGAAGATCTTGTGTCGGGATATATTTCCTCTCCTATGTTCCCAATTTTATTTTTTTCAACTTTAGAACGAGATAGTTCCATATATTTTTTTTTATTGTTAAGGAAAGTGGTTTTGTCTTTTGATTCCAATAAAATATTGAAATTTTATACATAAATGAGTTATTAATTAAATTTAATTAGGTAATAAAACTTATTTTATTACAAGAAAGAGGGGAAAAAAGACTTAATTTTTTTAATATAATAAGTAGTTTAGAATTTTTAAATGACTTGGGCCAATTTAGTCAAACATAATTCTCCCCTTCCCCTCCCTTCAATTTGTAAAGCACACAAGAGCTCTCCTTCCCTCCTCTCTATTTTTTTATCAACTAAACAAGGGAAGGGGAGTTATTAGGTAGTAACCGTTAAGGGAGTTAGTGTCTCAGCAACTACATAAAAAGAAAAAAAAATGGGGGGTTGTAAATCAAATGTAATCTCAGACTCAGAAGTATTATTCAGTTCTATCTCTCTCTTGTCTCTTCTCTTCCTCTACCCCCCCCCAAAATTCTTTCTACCACTACAACACACATTCATGCTGGGAAGAAAATACCTGATGTTGAACGAATAGTCTTGGGCAGGCCACGTTCTGGAATTATATTGATTAAATTTGCATGATGAGTATTTCTACATATGTGAAGTCTAATATCTGTGTCAAAGAGGAATACCCCTTTTTTTGGGAAGTGAATCAAATATAAATTAATAGAAAGCGAAATGATACAAAAAGAAAGAATAAAGAGTGTTTTAACACCTGACAAGATTCGAGGAGAAGAGTCCAGTTGAGAAAAGAAAAATAGCACTACTATAAGACCAAGAGGAAAAGACAGATGATGTGTTATTTTTTTTAGTCTCCTGGTTGATGTGTGATACGGTTTTGTAGATGTACTTAGAAGGTAGTGTTCTTCCGAACTCTGTAAAATGGAACTAATGACTTTGTATAAGCTGTTTAAGACAGATGATGTGTTATTTCTTTAGTCCCCTCCTCCCCCCTTTCCCTTTCGTGAGAAAAATATAAAAGGAAGAAAAACTAGGACAATAAACTTCTAAAAATGGTAAAAAAAAAACAAAAAATAGTAAAAAAAAATTTTTGTTGGGAATTTCTCCTCCTAGTTTTCTTTTCTCCCTATTTTTTCTTACTTTTTTCTCCATCCAAACCAAGCCTTCAAGGGGGAACAAAACCTGATTCTCTTCTTGATGATAAGCCTGGTCGATGTGCGCTCCTGCTGTAATAAGGCCTTGTTACCATTTGAAGTTATGCGCCTTCAGCTTTGGAGAATTACTACTTATATAAATAATGTTTTTATATTCTTGACATCGACTAACTTCTTTCATTTTAATTCTTCTCAGGCCGCAAAAGCTGCAAAACTGGGCAAAACTGAGATTCCGGCGAAATTTAAGCTACTGCCAAGTCCATGGACGCCTGAATCCGGGTTAGTCACTGCCGCGCTCAAGATAAAGAGAGAACAGCTGAAAGCCAAATTCAAAAATGAGCTTCAGAAGTTGTATTCCTGAATGCTTTATTTGTATACATAATATAGGGTAAAGGGGTAAGAAGTCATCAGAAACATCAAATACCCTAAAGTGAAGAAAAGTGCATGAGTACCTATGAACTTGTTTTGTTGGTGCATCTATGACCAAATTGTAAAACTTCAGATTCACATAACCGGTCAATCTCATAGGCTTTTAATGGTTACAATTTGGTCACAAATGTACCAAAAAAATAAGTTCATAGATATTCATGCACTTTTCTTCATTTTAAGTTATCGAATACTCCTGCATGGCAACTTCTTAAATATTTTTGCCCTTTTACCCTTTAATATGATGTTTGATTTTGTTTTATAATTTATCAACCTCACAACCTTTGATGCTCCATAATCACTTATTTACACTATTTATGTAATAATGATTGTAATATCTCAGCCTTTCCCTTTAATGTATTAAATCTAGGTTGTATATTATTTGATGAAGTACATGTGTGTCCAAAGGGATGAAGATGATAGAATTTTAAGGGATAAATAGTTTATGCTTAAAAAATGATTTTATGATTGTTTAAAGGTTCTATGAAAAAGTGATTTATTATTGAGAGATTTCATAAAAAGCAAAAATTATTTTATCTTGGGTTACAATGGTTAAAAACTAATTTATTATTTAGCATTTTCATAATTTTGTGTATCTTAGTCTTTTTATCTAACATTTTCTTTTATATGGTATTTGCTTATTTTTCCAAAAAATGATTGAAACTCAAAATTTGTTTCCCATCCCATCCCATCCCCAAAGGAGTTAGGACGGGACCTGGACGTCCTAAATACACATCCACTATTTCAGCAACAAAATTATTACAATATTTCAACTTATTACTTGACAAGAAAAAGCATACGTCACATTAATTAAAACCCCAGAAAAAATTTAATGCAAATTATCATTATGAACATGGTTGATCACAAAAGTAATGACTGACTAGAAGAATTAAACTAGTGAAACCAAAAAGAAAAACAAACCAAGACATGATTCTATTTAGGTGATTAGGAACCCCAATCTCAAAATGCTAAGCTGCACTGTCACTAAAGATAGAGAGAGGTTAGTACCTTCCAATCCAACAAAACAGCTCTTCGAGTTCTTGCCAAAAATCCTACTCCAAGGAGATTGTTAATATTTTGAATAAAAGATAAAAGCATAGAATCTAACTAAGGCCTCCCTTCACTCTCCAAAAACAATTTCTCTTTTCCCATGATGAGAAACAAAAATTGAGAAAAGTATGTAGATGCTAGTACTCTCAAAACAAAAACTAATGCTTCATATGCTGTCAAACAAATTTCTGCTTCAATCCACTTTACAAATAACAACATTCATTTCGGTAATAAAAACCACACCACCATAAATTTCAATCATCACAAAATATGCATTATATTTATAGTTGATAAAGCATTTCAAGCAGATACCTCTGAACATGAAGGTGGAAATTTAGTAGTCCTCCAGAAGAATTGCCATATAAAAGTGAAAGCATAGCCAAGAGCAGAATCCCTTTTTATTTGTGTGCACCAGGCCAATATTAATGATACTGCCTTGACTGACATAATCTGCTTAGTCATATGGAAGAAATATCAAGAAAAAGATGTACCTTTATCAAAGTATATTGTAGAACTAAATAGGGAACAAGAAAGAACTAATTAACTATAAATAGCATAAATTTGTAGAAGCATTCATGCCTAAAACAAAGAACAAATACATGCTTTTGGAAATCCCAAGATTTCCCAGTAAAGGAAAAAAGGCAGTAACAGAAAATCAAACTGTGGGCCTTAATACTGAAATGGGTAAACATGGATTCACAATAGTAATGGTGGGCTTTTGCTTTGCTCACATTTTATCCCAAATGATACACATGAGGAGACATGTTAGAGAACGAAATTTCTGGATCAGACCTTCAGAACTAAAGCTATTAAAATGCAAGGTTCCTTGCCATGATACATCTAAACTTTGGTTATATTAGACTTAATTATGTCATATAGATGAACTTAAAAAAAATGAATTATAAATAGTGTGGTATTGTCTTATAAAAAGACATTTATATATTATGCTTATATGAAAGAATTGTCGTAGGAAAACTTGTGTTGCTGAAATATACCAGTAGAAAAAAGGTTGAGAGCTCTGGCTATGAAAGCAGACATCATAGTAGATGTGAAGGTTGTGGCCATAGCGATGACGAGGATCAATCTGCATATAATAACACCAAGAAAAGTCTTAGCCCTTGATCCATCCATATGAAGAAATTGTAGCAAACGTGAGCTTAACAATCAGATAATGATCATAATGGTCAACATATACACTCATTTGAATTAACTTACAGCTTCAAGCCAGTGCCTTAGCGCTAATTTCTGGGCCATCTCATCTTTGGACAAGCCTTTTCCCACCTACCAAAAAAAAGGGTAAAAAAATTCATAGGCGTTCGACTGGCTTCAAAAAGAAATTCTGCATTCTTAAGAAGAAAATGAAAACTTGGAATTTGTCTCTGCCGATAGTCTTAGTCAAAGATCTAACCAGAAAGCCAGAGGATATGTAGCTTAAGTTTAATTATGTTTGAAGCAACGAAAAAATATGGCTAAAAGAATATATGCATTATTTTGAATGACGTCAGAAAGACATTCCAGTCTTGGCAACTTAGTCAAAGTTGCTAAAAAAAAAAAAGTTTGTAACTTTAGTTCCAACATGAAAAGAGATACCTTAGCAGCCATGGTCCTTGCTCTTGCCCATTTTCAAACAGCTGGTTCTAATTTATCAGAGTCAAAATATGATATAGAACATCGGTTCAGTGTTGCAAAGTCTATAGCTTTCCACCTGCAAGAGTTTAATAAAAATTAAACCCACTTAGTATTCCAATCATGAACTTGAAGTAGTTAATGTTACAGCATGAAATTAAAAAGAGCATATAAAACGATACACGCTTGTCTCTAAGATTTGTCCATTACTGATAAATTCTCAAATTCTTCGAATCAATTTATGATCCAATGAACGCTCCACATTAATGCTGACGGAGTTGACCAGCAACTCATGCCCCTAAGACATCACTTTTTGTCAACGAAACTCAACCAGATCTTATATTTAGAACTAAAAATTCAATAAACGCACCAGATCTGAGGACGACGAGGAGAACGATGGATTTGAGGCAACACCAGATCTAGGTCGAAGAGAACGACGGCGGTGGAAATCTGAGGCAAAGCTGGGACAGAAATTTGGGTGGAGATCTGGGTCGAGGAAGCAAGTATCTTGCAGTCGCGTCGTGTGGAGGAGTGGAGGTGGAGGCGGAGGCGTGGTCGAGGTCGTGGAGTTGAACTTGGAGGCGTGAAGCTGCGGTCGACTGCTCTCCGGTCTGCGTGGCTCAGTGCAGCGGGAAGGTTGGAAGGGAAAGTGAAAAATGAATTTCAAAATCGCGCGTGTCCGGTCCTGAAGCTGAAGGCTGAAATTGAGGACTAATCCAAACTCCAAAGACAACAGCATTTGGCACACCTATTTATTTGAGGTTTATCACAATGACAGATTTTATGTAAATATTATTTGTTAATTTTTTTTTTTTTGATTTGCTTTCCCTCTATTGTTCTAAAGTTTTTTCATTGCCTTTTTATTTTTTAATCAAATGATAAGCTAGAAAAAAATGCTTTATTTCATGTTCTTAAATAAAGACTTAGCGCTGTATTATTAATTCCCTGAAGTTCATTCATACATAATGAGATTGATAAACAAGATGGTAACTACTTGGTGCTGGCATTTTTTTCTAGCATTTTCCTGTCATGTTTTGCAGATTGGCCACAAAATAGCTATTTTTTTTACAATGGACAGTGCATGTTTCTAAAACTGTTCGGGAAACACAGAGCAAAATGTGGAGAATCAGGTTTGTATTAGTCTGAATAGAATGATTTATTTTTGCATCTAATTTCTGTATTTTCTTGTAATTTAGAATTTGGGCTGGAAATAAATCTTTTCTAAGCTTTTTACCTTTAGGTTGAGAATTCTGTCCTAATTTTTTGTGCGATTGTTAGTCCAAGAAAATTAATAACTTATGTTCTCATAATTTTGCAGCTTGATATTACAAGAAAAGATTTAGTCTTCATTAAAGAGGATGATCTCAAAATTAAAAACCTCCATTCTTTTCTGACTCAACAGTATAGTCTTTATTCCGACTTATCCCTCTAATTGGCACTAACATGACAAGGATTTCGTGTAATTATGGATTTTTGTCTGGCTTCACAAGTTGGAATAATATCTGTTTTGAAAAATATACCAATTTAACCACATTTCATCAATGTGTCCGTTATTGTGAGAAGATGATTTTATGTATTTGATGGCTTTTACTGACAAGTCAATAAGAGAAGTTAACACGAATGAGTCTGAAAAGTTGAGTATTTTTTTCAATAGAAAAAGTTGAATATTTTAAACTTTTGAACTTTGTGCGGTTCCAAATTGATGAACTTTCTTTTATCAGTGATTCTGTGGTGGGCCTTAATTCAATTAAAACCACATGGATATGAAGGATTTATTTACTTTACATGAAAATGCAATTACTTATTGAGATCAACCAAAGTGCAGTTTCTTTGCACATGTGTATGCCATAAATATGACGATGGCTTTTCAAGATAAAGTCATCCAAATGTAGTAAGTTTAGACTGTAAAATCATATGCTGCACGTTAATTCTGATAATCAATTTTATTTCATGGTTATTGTTTCAACTTCAAGGTCTGATTACATGGCTAGTGCGCAGCATGATGTTTTTATCCTTATTATTTCTAATTCATTAATGGATTATTGTCTTTGTTTATCCTCTGATGTGGAGTTTTATCCTCAGAACTTTCACCTCTTTTAACAAATTTCATCACTTTATTTTCCATTCTGTGAGAAGGTGCTTTTAGAGCGCCGTTAGTTTAAAAAAGCACAAAAGTCAGAATGAAAAATATAGAACAACTATAAGGTAAAATAATCAAGATTTAATACTTCTCAAATGATGAAAATTCTCTATCAGTCAAAGCTTTCTTTCGACTCATTTAAATTTAACCATACTGGTATGGAGTATTTTCTTTTTTTGATATAAACAAGGAGCATATATTCCAAACAACATTTCATCTCATTTGTGATTCATATTGTCAGAATATGCAAAGTATGTCATTCAAAAGTCACACAAAAAAGTAGAGACGAATATGATGTAGAAAAATTTAGTATTTTTAGCTTTTGAAGTTAGGGCACTTCCAAATCGATGAACTTTTATCAGTTATAGTGAGGTTAGTCTCGATTCAAATAAATGTGCACAGATTTGATTGATTAATTAATTATACATCCAAATACACTTACTGACATCAACCAAAGTATTGTTTCCTTTCACCTGTATATATCATAATCATGAAGTTGACTTTTCAAATGTTCAAAATACTTCAATGCCAGACTATAAAATCATACTTCCTATGGTTTCTTTTATAAGTTTTTTTCACCAATCTCACCAATGCAATGCAAAAAAGTAAAATAAATAAAAGTATGTAAAATTTTAAATATGTCATAGAAGATAATTAGTTGAGTTTATATAGCATTTCTTTATGTATCTTACACACTTTTTTGAGATGCATTCTGCTCTGAACCATGTAATGATATCAAAATAATTATATATTGTATTGCAAAAGAAACATGATTCAGTGTATTTTGCTCGGTGAAAATGTCAGGGATGCATGGACAAAATTTGAAAGCGTGCATGAGAGGAGGAATCTTATAGTAACTATTCAATATACATTTTTCATGAGAGAAAATAAGTAGTTTTAGCGGTATGCCTGTGTCTAATTTTTGTCTTCAATTACATGTAAGCTTTAATAAAAATGTAATCACTGAATTTACAAGTGTCTATTTATCAATCAATTATGTTGATGTTACAAGAGTCATTTGGAATCCAAAGTATAAAGAGCTAACCTTTATTCGTGGATTAACTTTGTTAGAGAATACAAACAAAGGATAAATAGTATAGCCATCATTTTCTTTTTCCATTCAGTGGTTTTATAGAATTCCTTTCTGGTCTTTAGTTATCATTTTTCTATGTCTTTGTGATGTACTATTGCTCTTGAAATGTTTTTAAAATTTGTCTCCCAAATGGTTGAACAGAATGCTAATGATACCCTTTTCTTTAATGATTGTTAGATTGTTCTTTTGTAATTTACTTTCTTTCGTATTGTCAGGTTTAATTATAATATGCTAAATTTACTTCTTTTTTTTGTACAGTGAAATTAATATAATATATCAATGTTAATCGTATATACTGATAGTAAGAAACAAAATAATAGAAATAGCAGTCAAGGTAATATAATTTACTGATGATAACCTTTTGATTGGTGCAAATTACTATAGTTAGAAAATGATAAGCTTATCAAGGCCTTTGTAGGTGTTAGAAAAAATATTCAAATTGCAAAGAAAGGAAGGCTTATTAAAATGTGTCTTTCAAACTTCAATGTATTAATTATAATAACATAGGGTTCAGTTATAAGTATTGCTTATTGATCTTTGTAATTCCATATCATTGTTCATTTTAATTAAAATCTTCTCTTGCATTGCAGAGGGTAGTAAAATCTAGTTGAAGACTAATCCAAACTCCAAAGACAACATAATGGTCCAATTTCTTAAAATAATAATAATAATAATAATAACATACTCAATATAAATGAGATGGGACGAGACATCTCGATGGTGAGCTCGAGTCCCGTCCTTTTCCTATTTTGATTTTATCTTGCAAAAGTCTTATCTCAATTATTTTTAGGTCGAGATAGATTCATTCTAATATGATCGAGATGAGTATGGGTTGGTTAGGCTGGGTATAACCTAAGCACCCCTTACCTAAGGATAATACATGAATTTTACTCATATCTTTTTTTGTGGAAAGATCTTGGAAATTGGGAAAATATCCTTCTAAATTTTATTTTATAGAAATTACTTTAACTTTAAATGCGGGAAAATGTTAAAAAAAAATATTTTCTTGAAATATGCAAATAACAGAAAAGTAATATGAAATGTGATTATTATTATGTTGTCTCTAATAACTTATTTGACATATTAGTTTTTGGTGAAATGACAAATTTACTGTTAATTTAAGATTTGAAATAAAACATGGAGAATAGTGGCTACTAAAGAATATAGAATGGCAATTTTTATTGGACAAATGATAGAAATTTAATAGCAAATTAGAGATTACAAGTATCTTTTTTGCCATTTTTTATCAATGAAATATGACATATGAATAGAAGTGAGAATATGAGCTAACTCAGATCAGATGAGTTGGAAAGAATATAAGTTGGGTTGAGTTTAATTTATTTTCATATAGGTTGAAAAAATACCAACTCAACCCAACTCTAATGGGTTGGTATGTTAAATAGGTTAACCCATCAATCTAATTATTTTTTTAAGAAATTACATCTAACTGAGAAATTCTAAATGATGTCATATGCAAATTAAAAAAATCACATCATAAATGAAAGAAATTGATTAATTCAATCATAATTTATTCCAAGATTTGCTAGTCTTATGTGAGGTTTTTGTGCCAAAACTTTCTCCATTTTTTATTTTTCAATTTTTTTATCTTTTAATAAATAGCATGGGTTAAACGGGCTAACCCTAACTTATCATGATTAACCCATTTAGTTCATGGATTATTTAATTTGGGCTAAAAAAGATCCATTTTTATATGAGTTATTTTTTTTTAACTTGACCTGTCTCTTATAAGTTATTTAGGCCAACTCATATAACTTGAGCTATATTCTCAGCTCTATGGATTGACTAATTAAAAATATAGAATGACAACTTGACTAAAGACTAATAATAAATTATAAGTGTCCTTTTGGTAATAGTGATCAAGTAGCAAATATGGAAATTAGAAGTGCAAAATTGGTTTTTTTTTTTGGGGGGGGGGAATAGTGATAGACCTAGTCGCAAACACGATAGCCAACAACTTCCAACCTTGGAGCACTTTCCAACTATTAGGAATGATTAAGGGAGAATTTCATCTAAGAGCTAGAAAAGAGAAATATTTATTAGTTGGTCTCAAAAAAAATGTAAAAATTTGTTGTAGGATTTCTAGATTGATCTGCAATAAAATAAATGACTAAAAAGACTGAAATACTCTTTTGCAAAAGAAAGAAAAAATGATTGACAACTGATATTGATAAATTAACAAGTAAAATTAGAGAATTAACAACTAATAATTTTGCATTTAGGAGACACAATGATTGAACTAATATGATTATTGACAAGTCATATAATTTACAATTGATATTGATAAATTAACAAGTAAAAGTTAGATAATTAACAACTGATACTAGTATGATGATTGATAAGTGAAGTCAGATAATTTACAAGTGATATTGGTAAATCAACAAGTGAAGTAAAAAAAAATTAATAATTAATGATTGTACCTTTTAATCAAATTGAATGAACAAATCTTGTAAAATTCAG